TCTCCAGGCTCCGAGCCATCAGCCCAGAGCCCGACGCGGGGCTCGAACTCGCAGACCGCGAGATCGTGACCTGGCTGAAGTCGGACGCTTAACCGACAGCGCCACCCAGGCGCCCCTGAATTTTTATTTTCAATTCATTTTAATTAAGTTTAAAATTTTAATGGCCGCATGTGTCTGCCGTGTTGGTTGTTAGCACAGTTCTGGATCCTCCGTGAGTATCTTCAGGAATTAGGTGTGCGAATGTGTGTGTGTTTCAAAACTCTTAGGATAACAAATGTCTTTGCCTTCCCAGAAAAATCTTTGCTTAATTTCTTTAATCCCTTCTCCTCCTTCTTTCTCACTTGTCAAAGAGACTGTGCTTCCCTAAAGCAATTACCCTTGAACTCCTTTCCCCGAACGCTCCCTACTAGATTTTAGGGAAACCTCATGGGGAAAAGAAGTTATGCCAAACTTACGCTCCTGGGGAGCCACCTGAGAACGTTGCTGAGAAGGGTACTCTCTTATAGCCCTGAACAAAAATGAGTCCCATTAAATAAGTAAACTCTGTGGGCAAAATTGTCCATTCCCTCCTTCATTAATTCACTTGTTTATTGAAGACATTAGGTACAAAAAGCAGTTTGATAGATGTATTAATTTCCTCGGGCTGCTATAACAAATTACCACAAACTGGGTGGCTTAAAACAACAGAAATTTATTCTCTCACGGTTCTAGAGGCTGGAAATCTGAGATCTAGGTGTCAGCAGGGCCGTGCTTCCTCTGAAGGCTCTAGGAAGGGGTCCTTTTCTGTGTTGCCCCCACCTCCAAACTCCTGGGTTGAAAACCTAATGCCCAAGGCGATGGTATTAGGGGGTGGGGCTTTTGGGAAGTGATTGGGTTATGAGGAGGGGGCCCCCGTGAATGGGATTAGTGCCCTTATGAAGGAAGCCCCGGAGAGCTCACTTGCCCCTTCTACCATGTGAGGATAGCCCAGAAGAGGATCCTCACCTGACCGTGATGGTGAGTGCATGATGGTGAGTGCGTTGATCTCAGACCGCCAGCTTCCAGGACTGCAAACGATAAGTTTTTGTTGTTTGTAAGCCACCCTCTATGGTATTGTATTATAGCAGCCCGAAGAGACATAGACATCTCCCTAGCCCCTGGTCGTTGTCTGCAATCTTTGGTGTTCCTTGGTTTGTAGATACCTCACTCCAGTCTCTGCCTGAATCGCACAGGGCATTCTTCCCTGTGTGCCTAGATGTCCAAATCCCTTATAAGGACACCAGTCATATTAGTTAGGGCCCACCCCACTCCAGTATGACCTTAACTTAATTCCATTTGCAAAGACCTTGTTTCCAAATAAGGTCACATTCATAGGTACAAGCGGTTAGGACTCAGCCTATCTTTTTTGGAGACACAATTCAACGTATGACAATAGTACTGTAAGGAATTTAGAAGAAAAGGAAGATACGATCTTTGCCCAAGGGTATTAACCTCTACAAGGGAAGATACTCTGCTCATGAGGGTTGAGGGCGGGGAAGGGCCACAGGCCAGGGGAGGGAGCCCAGAGCGGAAGAAGCCTTTGTGACTGACGAGCTTCCATTTTGCTCCATTGCGGGGCTCCCTGTGTGTTCCTTGTTTCTCTGTGTGTCTGTCTCGCCCAGGTCATCACACAAACAGAGTCTCACCGTCAGCGCCTCCTCCAAGAAGCAGCTGCCAACTGGCACTCCTGGGTCATTAAAGTGCAGAAGATGAAAGCTATTTACCACATCCTGAACATGTGCAACATTGACGTCACCCAGCAGTGCGTCATTGCTGAAATCTGGTTCCCGGTGGCAGACACTGGGCGCATCAAGAGGGCATTAGAGCAAGGCATGGTGAGTGGCAGATGGAGCAGGGGAGGGGGAGGAGGAGTCGCGTCCAGCCTCCGCAGCCCCTCTGTCAGGCGCTAAGGTTGTCATCCTCCTAAGTCACATGAAGTTCATAAGTGACTTGCTGGTGACAAGTGGCAAGTCTCCTTCATCTTTGTGTCTTCAGTTCTTCTTTTTTTCTTTAATTTTTAATGTTTATGTATTTCTGAGAGAGAGAGAGAGAGTGAGCACATGCACGCAGGTGGGGGAGGGGCAGACAGAGAGAGAGAGGGAGGGGGCCGAGGATCTGAAGCAGGCTCTGTGCTGTCCGCAGAGAGCCCGATGCAGGGCTCGAACTCACGAACTGCAAGATCATGACCTGAGCCGAAGTTGGACGCGTAACTGACTGAGCCACCCAGGCGTCCCTGTATCTTCAATTCTTAATCTAGTGCTGGGCATGTATCAGAAAATTCCTTTTCTTCTCGATGTTTGACAGATATCCACCATCTCTCTGATTTACTGCAAGCGCATGTTGAGCACTGATGTGCTAGTCACTCTGCTAGATGAGACTATAGGTCCCACATGCGGTGTGACCGTAGGTATGTCCGTTCTCTCATGAAGGTCACCGTCTGGCCAGAAAGACAAACAGCCAGACCCCTGTGCTCACTCTGTGCCCACAGCTATGCTCTGCACTCTGTACCTTGGTTCATCTTACAGCCTTCGTCATTCACCTCTCCAGATGGTCACTGTGCACCAGGAACAGATCCAGGGCTATGCAGGCAGAATGAAGCCCTGGTCTGACAGACTTTCTAGAAAGGAAGACAGATAGTAGGCATGTCCATAACTAATGTGATTTCAGGTGGTGATGGTGGTGAGCAGGAGGGCGGCAGATGGTGGAGGATGGGGTGGGGGGAGAGGAGCTTTGTTCTGATCACCTGTTCACCCCGTTGGTGAAGAAAGGAAACTCTGCCCTAAATGGTACAAGATGGCCAAACACACAACACTGGCCATCGGACACATGAAACTGGCAGCGGTTGATTAGTCACATATGCTTATAGCCCAGGGCAGGAGGACACCACTCCCCACACAGGGCCGCATGGAGGTTGTACTTGGGGCTTGCACTTGGGGGCACAATGAGCCAGCCGGGCTATGGGAGGCAGCCTCCCACAAGAGGAGGGGGTCTGGTTTCCATGGGAGGATGTGAGTAGCTTGTTAGAATACCTTTCTGGGGTGGCAGGGGGGTGAAGCCCATTGGGTCGAAGACTGGGCAGTGTGCAAATGGTCTGGCCTATGAGAGAGCTAGCTGGGTGGGGAGCCCTTCCCCCTCCATGGGAGGCAAATCTGATGAAAACAGAGGAACTCATGGCTTGGACTTTGGGGCCCTGTGAGACTCAAAGACATCAAGGTGACACCTGGAATTTTAGGTCTTACAATACTGTGATAGGGCTGTTGCCCTCAGAAGGCCCCTCTGAGCGGGTGGCTTGGAGCAGGAGCAGGTGACAGGATAGGAGGGAGAAATTTCAAGCTGAAGGATCTGGAAGTAAAGGCCTTGACATGGAATTGGCCTAGGAGGCAGGAGCTATCTTTATCCCCTTTGTACATATGAGGAAACTGAGTCACACAAAGTACAAGTGACCTGACTGTGATCCTGAAGCCAGAAGGCTGGATTTAAATGTCCCCATATAGTAGTCCAACAATGCACCTAGAAAGAGCATTCATTTCACCCAGCTTGGGAAGGGCAGGGGTGCTCCCTGGAGGAAGTGATGCCTGAGCTGAACCATGGAAGGGTCATCAGTGAGCAGGTGGATGGAGGTGGGGAGGAGCGTGGAGTGCAGGCCCACCTGGCTGGAGTGAAAGTGTGGCAAGTTTCAAGAATGGGAAGAAGGTCAGGGAGAGGCTGCAGGGCAGGTCCTGAAGGACTTAACAGTGGTATAAGGGATCTGATTTTATGCCCATGCTAGAGCGGCACAATCCAGTTTGCATTTTAGAAACATTTCCGTGCGATATGGACAAGACAGCAGGGCCACCGGGGAGGTGTCCTGACGCACGTATGTGAACGAGACAGGGTCATCCTGTAATCACAGAGGGGCCAAACTTCTACAAGTCTGCTTCGGACTGTTTCTTCAGTGTCTTCAGCCCTCTGAAATAACAAGTCTTTCCCAGATAGGAGTAGAAGGCTCTACGTGGGTAGGAGGTGAGGAGAGAAGTGTAATAGGCTAACTTTCGTTGTCAGCATCACAAACAAGCAAAATATACTTACTCTATGCCAGGGGTTATGTCAGCTGCTGGGGCACATGTTAAGAAAAATGAAGCACCATAATTCTTGCCCTTAGGGAGATCATAATCTCACACATGAAAAGATATATCACAAGAGAGTAAAGAACTCCACCGCTTGCGGTGGGACCTAGGGGAAGTTACTTAACCTCTCTGGACCTTTGTTCCCTCACCTGTCAAGTGGGGCTGGGTAGGAAGGTGATACGGACCTCATGGCATTTTAGGAGGATTGATGGGCATTTAGCCAGTGCTAAGTCCCACTGAGTGTGCAGGTGGTAAGTACCGTTAGACTTTGGACTGACCGAAAGGTTCCTGGGGAGTGAGCCTGGGGAACGGTTCATACCTGGGTAAGTGAAGAAGAGAGATGGCTGGTGTAAAGTCACCTGTTTCTGTGCAGAAGTAGTGGGGGTGAAGGTGTGAAGGGAGCAATAGTCAATATTGGAAGGAAGTCTTGATGACCAAATGGAAGAATTTTGATTCCATTCTCTAGGTAATAGGAAGCCTTTGAAGATTTTTGAGTAGGGGAGTAACATGACGGAAGCAGTACTTGTTTGTTTTATTTTATGAAAGAAGGATTGCACCATCTGCAGCATAGGCTAAATGGGGAGGCTCAGGGCTAGGCTAGTGGTTATGGGAGCGAGAAAAAGAAGGACTTTAAAGGGACAATCAGCAGGATTTGGTGATCGATTGATTGAACCAGGAGAAGAGACGCATCTGATGATTCCCAAGGTTCAGGGATCTGGAGAACGGAGTCTGCTGAAGGAGCAGGGAGGCCAAGGGAGAACCTGGCTTTGGGGCAAGTTGATGAGTTTGATTTTAGGCTCCTGGATATTGTGGGGTTGCTGAGACATGAGAGTTTGAAAGCCCAGACAGGAAATTAAAACAGAATCGAAACTGGGGAGGGAGTAGGACCATTTGGAAGAAAAGGGCAGAATCAAGAAAGTGGGTTAACTCTTGAGGGTGTGAGTAGGGAGAAAGGAAGAGGAGAGGACCCAGAACTGGGCATAACAGGTGAATTGGCAGGAGCAGGAGAATGGAAATGGCCAGAACTCCACTTTCTTGATGACTCTCCTGTAAGATAAATTAGATATTAGGAAGGTATTTTACAGAGTGGTCATGGGTGTCGGAGAGGTCAAGAAATTGTCCCAAGTTCACCTATAAGGGATGGCAGGAATTGGACATCCATGTGCTCACACTCTTCCTTACGTTTTTGTCAATTTTTTTTTTGTTTGTTCTTTTGTAGGAACTAAGTGGCTCCTCCATGGTCCCCATCCTGACTGCAGTGCAGTCTAAAACATCTCCTCCCACATTTAACAGGACCAATAAATTCACAGCTGGCTTCCAGAATATCGTAGATGCATATGGTGTGGGCAGTTACCGGGAAATAAACCCAGGTAAAGTGTCTGATGCATTGTATAATGGGGCAACTTGAAAATGAAAACTGGTTAAGATTTACCCCTTGGGTGGCCTAGGAGGTGAATTGCTTAAAACTGGATCATTCCTAAAATTTTGTTTGGCTTCCTAATGCTCTGCATTGGTTGCCTAAATGGTGATTAGTGAAAGATTTGTTCTTTGTCAAGATTTCACCTGTTCTCCCTTGAACCATTGCCTTATTAGGCAGTCAAATTCAGTTCTTGTTTCCTTAACGATTCAGTGGGGTCATCTCTCAACATTTTCACAGAGCTGTAGCTGTTTTGTGGGTGAGATGGGAACACAGCTGGCTTCCAGGACTTGGAGTCAGAAGACTGGATTCTAAGTGACATAAGCTGTGTGATATTGGTAGTCTGGTTTGTAAAATAAAAAGGGTAGACCAGGTGCCCTTCAGCCACGTAGTCTATAGTGCTCTTTTTCTCCAAGCAGAGTCCTAATCTTGTGACCTGTAATGCAGCGACCCCGTAGGCTGGGTATCCTGTGAGTAGAGGTGTGTGATACATGTGGAGTATACGAAACACTCAGAGATGGGAAACTGGTTTTAAGACCCGATACATTTTGTGATCTTGGGCAAGTCACCAAACTGCTTCAAAACTCAGGTCATCTGTAAACAGGGACTTATAATGCTTACTTATTGATAAGCTAATGTGTGTGCGAGCTCAGCAAATGTTGGGGATGGGGAGGGAAGACAGAATCAGAAAGATACGAGGGAACCAGCTTGTGGGTCACGGATCATGTTAGACAGATCTTTGATGGAGCCACTGGCCGTGGGAAGGACTCAGGCTGTTGTGGGTCTCCCCTCTATAGCTCCCTATACCATCATCACATTCCCCTTCCTCTTCGCTGTGATGTTTGGAGACTGTGGTCATGGGATCATCATGCTCCTGGCAGCCCTTTGGATGGTCCTTAATGAGAGACGCTTGCTCTCCCAGAAGACCAACAACGAGGTGGGTGTCTGTCGAATACCTTGCCTCAGTTCTCCGAGGTTATAAGTAGAATCTGAAAAATGTGTATGTTGTTTTCACTAAAGAAACCAACCTGTTTTATGAAAAGCAAAGGATAGAAAGGATAAAGGGGCCAAAATTCAGCCTTGAAATTCCTGTCCAAAGGTCAGTGCTTTGGATGGTGTGGTGCAATTTCTTCCAGCATTTTTGTTTTTTGTACATTGCTTGACAAGGCATTGATCTCTCTTTATTTTTAAGTTTTTCCCCTCCTAACATGAATTTTTTTCTTTGATTATAAAAAACAATATATGTTTATTTTTAAAATTGGGAAAATACAACAATTTAACTACCTAGAGAAAATCACAACTAATGTTTTTATCTATCTTCCTGTATTTTTTCTGCGCTTATACACAAATTTTTCAACATTTTTAAAAATAGGGCTCACATATTGCATATTAATTTGTGGCCTTTTTTTTTTCACTTAAAATATCACAAATAGTTTTTCTCATGGCAGAGCCCTTCTCCCACAATCAGTCCATGCTCAGTGTTCTTATGAGCTCTGTGTTCACTGGAATACATCTTGTAAGCTGGAAACATGCCTTTAGCTGTGTTCTGAATTTTAAGAATATCTGCAAACTTTTATTACAAGTTGTCTTAACTAGAGCTAGTTCAGTGATGTCACAGCAGCTTAATCATAAGCGAGGTTAGTGGGAAACTCCACCTCTGGCCAATATAGTTTTGTGTGACCAACACTGTAAGAGCCATAGCTTCCTAGAATAAAGAATTGAAATCTCAGAGCTACACTTTGGCAGGTCTGTGAATGATTGACACCCATCATCCAGTATTATAGAAAGCACTTGACTCTTCTTAGTGGACGTGCTTAGACAAGACTTGATTTTATGACAGAATGAGTGGAGCTTTGACTTGCCATGAAATTTAGCTGCCATATGCATCCAGCTCGGAGCTTGTCTCCTAGAAGTACTTGAAAGAGTGGCTGCAGGGGCGCCTGGGTGGCGCAGTCGGTTAAGCGTCCGACTTCAGCCAGGTCACGATCTCGCGGTCCGTGAGTTCGAGCCCCGCGTCAGGCTCTGGGCTGATGGCTCGGAGCCTGGAACCTGTTTCTGATTCTGTCTGCCCCTCCCCCTCTCTCTCTGCCCCTCCCCCGTTCATGCTCTGTCTCTCTCTGTCCCAAAAATAAATAAAAAAACGTTGGGAAAAAAAAAAAAAAAGAGTGGCTGTACACTTTCATGTCCCTCCATAACGTGTGAGGCCTCAGCCTCCGCTTCAGTTATGTTTTCTTTTTCTTTTTTTTTTTTTTAATGTTTATTTATTTTTGAGAGAGAGACAGAGCTCAAGAGGGGAAGGGCCAGAGAGAGAGGGAGACACAGAATCTGAAGCAGGTTCCAGGCTCTGAGCTGTGAGCACAGAGCCCGATGCGGGGCTCGAACTCATGAACCGTGAGATCATGACCTGAGCCGAAGTCAGACGCTTAACTGACTGAGCCACTCAGGCGCCCCTTCAATTATGTTTTCTAACCAGTGATGACTTAAAGATTCTGAGGCTTATATGGTTTTTCTTCCACAGTAACAACCACCGGTCTAGGACTTTTCTGACTGATGCATTTAGGCTCGGGGAAATTACGGTGTGTGTGCTCTATTTGGATTGCTTTGATGTTGCCCCGTGCTGTGGCCCCTCTGTGTGGGGCCTGTGTGCCTTGCCGTGGATGTTCCACTGGTGCTGGAGACATCCCATAACACATTCTCCCCCACCCCAGGCTCTGGTGCCAAGCCCCCTGACGGCCATCTTCTCTGTCTCCCTGAAACCAGATCTGGAACACCTTCTTCCACGGACGCTATCTGATTCTCCTTATGGGCATCTTCTCCATCTACACGGGCTTGATTTACAATGACTGCTTCTCCAAGTCTTTCAACATCTTTGGCTCTTCTTGGAGTGTCCGACCGATGTTCAGAAATGGCACGTGGAAGTAAGTTTACAGACAGAGGTGGGTCACTCGCTTGGCTGTCCAGGTGGCTTCAGGGGCACTTTTCATGGTCAAGAAGTCTATGCCTGGCTCTGCTCAGAGGCGTGCCCACAAATTCAACGAATGATTCCATTTTATTTACCGAGTGAGCAACCTCCAACCAGTCCCTCAGTAACTGTGCTGGTCATTCTGTTGTGTGGAGATAGTTTGTAACATTTCAATTAAGTATATATCATGGTGTCTGTAGCATGTGCCAACACTACTGTGAAAACAAATAGTGAGGCAGGTACAAACTGGGCATCTTGGTGTCAGTCACAGAAGCTAAGTTCCCCGGAGGAGAAGGTTACATTTGAAGCAGACCTAGTTCCAGCAGGGGACTGGACGCAGTGAGCACTTAGGACAGAAGCCTGATGTGGTGTTGAATTATATAAATCGCTGGTTTCCAGTGCTCGAGGCCCCAGACTCACCTGAAGGACATTTTCTTTGATGGTTCAGAGTGACTCCATTCAATGTCAAAAGCAAAGGAGGGGGTGGCTAGTTTTCATAAGCAGCTCCCTGTGTTTGTCTTTTGGGTGATGGAGTGAGGAGGGCAGGTAGGATAGAGTAGCTGGCGAAGAGTGGCTGCGTGGGTGGCTGTGTCATGGGGGGGTCAATGCATCCCCCCTAGTTTCTTTGCTGGTCCAGCTTCCTTGCAGTAGAGGACAGGACTATTAAACAATAAGGAAGGGAAGGAAGGAAGGGAAGGGAAGGGAAGGGAAGAAGGAAAGGAAGAAGGAACAGAAGAAGGAAGGAAGGAAATGAAGGATAGGACATTTTCCAGAATACAGATGGCTATATTGACAAGTGCTTTTGTTTTTGTACTTGCTTTACGATTAAGTACCCTGAAGAGATGCCTAGGAGAACAAAGCTTTCATAAATTTAAAGACAAATTACTTAGTTCTGCTCTTTAGATGTAAACTCGTAAGCATAGCGATGGGCTTTGAAGCATGTTAAATCAGCACAATTTCACCAAACTACCTCCATGAAATCTCATTTACCCAGGAGCGTGATTGGGAAAGGTCCGAGTCACCTGGCTTTTTGTCATTCTGCAAATGTGGGCTTGAGTACTCTTTTATGCACCTGTGAATGGAATGACTCCTGCCCCAATTCAAGGCTCTCAGAGGCCAAGCCCAGTCTGAGGGACACTCAGCCACATGCCAGGCATCACTTGTATGAAGTGGGACCTTATTAACAGGGAGACAAAAGAAAAGTGCAGTCATCCATCAGAGTGGCAAAGGACACAGCAAGCTGGTTTTGGTCACCAGTCACAAGCTAGGTCTTGGGCTTGCTTTCCCTGGGAATTGACTAGGGACACTGTCACAACGTTCTTCAGCCAAGGACCACCAGAAGCATGCCTGGCATCACCCAGCACTGAATTTACTAACTCAGGGAGCTGGTGTACCAGTGGGGGAGCATGGGCATCTCAGCAAGAGGATGTAGGGAAAGGGCCTACAGGGTCTGGCTTCTAGGAGGATGAGGGCAATGTTTGGTCATTTTTGTGGTTCGGGCATTGCCCTTATTTTGATATGTCCATATTTTAATATCAGATATGATGTGGATCGGTCTTGTTTTTGTCTGGATCCACCAAGGTCAGAGGGTGGCTTTGTCTGATGTTGGTGTTCTGTGAACTTGTTTATGTCAACAGCAGAGATCATGCCTTAGCTGTGGGTGCCGGTTCCCTCTTATCGGGAGCGGCTTTGTCCACACACAAACAAACCTCTTCTAGTTCAGTGTAACCGTATGCACTGAGGCATGCATTAGGGTCTGAGTCTGAGACGGCCAGTGAGGCCATCTGTTCCCACTGTGTCCTGAGGGTCTGGTCATTGAGATCAGGCTTCCTGATCCCCCCTGTTGCTCCCTAACACCTTCGAGCACCTCAGTTGTAGGAGGGAGGGAGTATATTTCTAGGTAGCCAACCAAAGTTGCCAGCACTCTTTTCTTCATCATTTCAGTATTCCTTCTTGGCCCTTCTATAGATGTGTGCTCTGTTAAACAAACAAACAAACAAACAAACAAACAAACAAACAAACACCCCTAATATTCTCATCCCCTTGGGGCTTGCAGAGATAGTAAGAAATTCCTACCCACTGACGTTCATGCTTCTGGGCAAAACTGGGACACTGATTTAAAGACATTCAATGATTTGAACAAACCGACAGTTAAAAAGTTATGAGTAATTTGGGAAAATTTGAGCAATGATTGCATGTTTGATGATTTTAAGTGATTGCTCGTAATTTTTAAGGTATGATACTAGACTGTGTTAATTTTCCTTAAGTCTGTATCATTTAAAATTCATACTAAAATATGTGTGGATAAAAGTAGCGGTCTGTTAATCGGAAATGATTCATTTGGTGGGAGGCAGCACTGGGTAGAGGGTCAGATGGAAAAGACTGGCCATGTATTGACAACTGGGAAATGGGTAGCTATATGGAAGTTTAACATATTATGCTCTCTACTATTGTGTAGTTTTGAAATTTTCTGTTCTAAAATTTCTTTGTTGCACATAAAATAAAAACTAAGAAGATTTAAAAAACTTATCTGAGCAAAAAGAATAAATAAAGACATTCAATGGACTGCAACTTTTGAGAGCTGAGTTTCATGAAGATTAGGGTCTGTGGGTGAGAGCCAAATTATACCTCCAGATGAGCCCATGTGTACGCAGGGATGATTTCCCAGGCTTGTCCCCAGGCTGAGATTTCTTTCTTATATGCTCCTTCATCCCTGACCGACTTTTTTTCTGACGTAGTATAACTGCTTTTCTTTACAATACTCCACCAGGCTGAGAGCCTTTGGAGACTCAGACTGTGAGCGTCTTGGGGCCAGATGGTAATGTGCATAGTCTCAGCACCTAGGACAATACTTCACACATAGTAGGTATTCAGTACCCATGCATGGAATGATTGAATGAGCCAAATGATGAGTTGCACCAACAGTGAGGCTTTGATTGGCTTACAAGTTCATGACCAACGGCGCTATAGTGTTTTTTTTCTACCTCTGGTTAATCATTGGTTTTGTTTTTATTTTTCCTTTTCCCCTCTCTAGTGCACATGTAATGGAAACAAATCCATATTTACAGCTGGACCCAGCCATTCCAGGAGTGTACTCTGGAAATCCATACCCATTTGGGATTGATCCGGTAATAATGTCTTCTTGGGTTAGATATTTATTACGTACAATGTCTTGCTGAGGAGATCTCTATGTAGAGGGGAGGAAAGTGCCAGAACCTTTGAAATCAACAAACTTACACACTGAGCTAGAATTACATATACTGGAGGTTTTGTGGCACTGTGTAGGACTCAAGTAAATGTCCTACCTGTACCCTTTACCTAGCCCCTGGGTCATTTTCCATATAGTTGCTCAAACATCTGCTTCCTTCTCCAATAATTTATACCCCTGGTGGTTAATGATTGCTTCTTTAAAAGGCCCTTGGTTGCCTGGAAAGTATGCATGTTAGAGAAGTTATTAGCATATGGATCAAGTTCCTTACCTTGGCATTTTCTTGTAGTGAGTAACATCTCCCTTATCCTAGCAAAGTATGGATTTGCTCTTAGCTTTGCTTAATTTTACCGCCTAGAATTTACACAAGTTTTTTTTTTTTTTAAATGGTACGAGTTAACTTTTGTGTTCGTTATATCTATCTCAACTGGATTTGAGCCAAGCGAAACAAAGGTGCTTCCTTGCACAGCCTTTCAGATCTAAAGGGATTTCCAGAAGGCTCACATGCCTATTGGCTTATACGTGATGGCCCAACACATAACTGCCACTAGGTGGCAGCCTTGTGCTCCAAATGAGCTTGACCGAGCTAGACGGAAACTTGGCAAATGTTGTCAATAAATGTTTCTTCTAAGCTCTTTTTGTGGGAGAGATCCTGAGACCTTAGTTTTAGTTGCTGCCATTTGAGAGTAAACAGTACGGGCCCTAAAACTGTACTCTCGGATCTTATGGGTTGTCTCCTCTTCGGCTAGCCTGAGTCCTCCCATTGCTTGCCTGTCTCCCCTCCCTTACAAAGGCAGAAGACATCACCCGGGATTTGTTTATACTTGGCCACTCAGGGACACTCGTATTCTAAATTTTATCACACGAGGTAAAGTCCTTGAAAGTTGAGCTGTAAGCCGCAAAGTGCTGAAAACAAACGCAAGTTGATATTTTTGTTGCTTGAAAGGCTTTTTCTGTGGTCCGAGGAATTTCATGATTAGCACGCGGGCTGCGGAGGAGGACAGACAGAGGGTCTGGTTGACCTTCCTTTGCTTTGAATGTCTTTGCTGCCACTGTCCTCTTTTCACCTTCCCAGCCCACCCCTGAATCATCAGTATATCCTGTCTGCCCGGTTCTGCTCCTCAAAGGCCATAGTAGCCCAGAACCCACGGAGCCAGAGTATCTACTGTGGCAATTTTATCATCTTCCCGATAGAGAAGAAAGGAAAAATGTGAGGGGTAGAGGAGAAGTGCGATGTTGAGAAGAATTAACTTTTTCCCTAGTAACATTTACGTTTTTGAACATTCCTGGTCTTTTTGTGAAAAACTAAGAGTTATATGAGATTAAAAATCCACAAAATAGTATAAACTAGAAAAGAAAGAGTCTCCTTCCCTATCTCTGATGTTCTGGCAATTCTGTTCCCCAGAGATACCCCCTTTAACAGAACGTTACTGTGCCTGTATTAGACCCTATATATATCAATGAACGGTTGGATTTTTACATAATGTAAATTTCTACAGCAGCATTTATTGACCATGTGCAGCCTTTTTTGTGAATCAAATCATAAGATATTTGGTTATCAGAGCTGACAGGTCTTTCTAAAAGTGTTTGTAGAGGGGCTCCTACGTGGCTCAGTTGGTTGAGTGTCAGACCCTTGATTTTGATTCAGGTCATGATCTGAGCCCTGTGTGGGGCTCTGTGCTGACAGCACGGAGCCTGCTTGGTTTTCTCTCTGTCCCTTTCCCCCTGTCTCTCTCTCTCACCAAAAAAAAGAAAAAGAAAAAGTGTATGTATTTTTAAATAAATGAACGTAACACAATGGTTAAAAGCCTATGCTTTTGGCTCAGATAGCTGTGTATAAATCTTGCCTTTTCTATTTCCTCACTATGTGGTTTTGAGCAAGTTAATACCTCTGTGTCTCTGTTTCCTCATCTGCAAAATGGATATAACAGCAGCCCTAACTCACTGGGTTGCTCAGAAGATTAAACGATTTTTATGTGTCAAACACCTGGAACAGAGTCTGGAAAATAAGTAGGTCAAATAACCTATTTGCTATAGTATTATTTCTTCCTAGGTGTGTAGAGAACTTAATTGCCCCGAGATTGAGATAAATTTCCCTTCTCTGTAAAATGCGAATATTTACATCCGTCTCGTAGGGTTGTTAGACTTAAATGAGATAGTACATTTAAAGAGCTTAGTTTGTGCCTGGTACTTAATTTATAGTTCATCAGATTTGACTGGGCCTAAACCGTGCTGGGGACCCTGCCCTAACCATGTTCGGTGATCCCGTAGGGCTGGCCAAGCAGGAGGGCAAAGGGAAGAGCAGAGGGTACAGGGCAAGCCTGGTGCAGCTTAAATGCCAAGGCAGATGGCGAAGGGAGAGGAGACGTCTCTGGTGTCTGGGCACCTGTTACTGGAGACCCTTTGCCTACCTTGCCAGCAGCCCCCTTAGTGATGGTCCAGCTGGCAGCTGCTCAGGACATTGTAAAGGACGTGTCGGTGAGGTGTGGTTCCTGCCTGCTTGTGTGCCTGGGGTGGGTGCAGGGTGACTTTGCATTGAGGCCGTGCCTAGCAGAGCTTCGAGCTCTTACCCAAAGCAAAGTAGTTTGGAGGAGGAAGTCATGTTAGGTGGGAAGATGTGGCTTTGTTACCTTTGAGATGTGGTATAGCGAACCCTTAAGACATATGTATAATCTTTTTAAAAAATTTTTACATTTATTTATTTTAGAGAGAGAGTGAGCGGGTGTTTGAGTGCCCAAGTGGAGGAGGGGCAGAGAGGGAGAGGGAGACGCAGAATCGGAAGCAGGTTCCAGGCTCTGAGCTTTCGGCACAGAGCCCAACACAGGGCTCGAACCCACGAACCATGAGATCATGAGCTGAGCCGAAGTAGGATGCTTAAGCACCTGAGCCATCCAGGTGCCCCACCCTTAAGACATATCTAGCAGGCAGTTTGGGATGTGTCTAAAGTTGAAGAGGGCTGAGAGGTAAGAGCAAAGACTGAACCATTTACATAGGGGTGGGAGTGGAGACCATGGGGATGTTGGAGATGTCTTTGGGGAAGAAGAATGCCAGTGAGTGGGGCCATTAACTAGCATGGGACCCTACCCAGCCCCCTAGCCACTCTGAGTGCTTGCTCTGTGTGTCAGTCTTGGTGGGAAGGCCGGGACATGTGCCCCTCACTTTTCAAGCCTGGCAGTTCTGTTAAAACAGGGACTGCATAGGGGCACCTGCGTGGCTCAGTCGGTTGAGCGTCCGGCTTTGGCTCAGGTCATGATCTCACGGTTTATGAATTCAAGCCCCATGTCGGGCTCTGTGCTGACAGCTCAGAGCCTGGAGCCCGCTTCTGATGCTGTGTCTCCCTCTCTCTCTGCCCCTGCCCCCACTCATGCTCTGTCTCTCTCCCTGTCAAAAATAAATAAACATTCAAAAAAATTAAATTAAAAAAAAAAAAACCAGGGACTGTGTGGAAGGCAGGGAGCATGTCTTGCCCATAGCGCTAACAAATATTGACTCTAAGTGTGGTTTCTTGCGATGGGCCCTGGAAAATGCTTTGTGACGTGAAGCATTTTAGAAATGCCAAGTCAAAGGTGGTATTCTCAAGAAGGGATTGGAAAAATTCATGTGCCAGAGCTCTACATCACTACCAAGTGGAAGTGAGGCCAGTTTGAGATCTCTCCATGATGTTTCAGAATGTCTTTTCCCTTAGAACAGAGGAGAAATCGTGTAGGATTTTTTTTCTTCTAGCCACGTAATATCTTCCTAATGGCACTAATAATTCTGCCAAACTTGTCATTAGAATCGCATTTAAAAGGGGTTTGGTCCCCTTCCTTTCCTGAACCTAAAATGTCCTCATTGAACTGGATCAGAATGTGAAAATATGGATGGTCCCCAGAGTGACTTCCTCAGGAGGAGTCCTGCTATTTCCCCCGATGCCGGGAGAACTTCTCGACTCTGATCTCACGTATTCCTTGTCATGTCTCCCATCCAGATTTGGAACTTGGCTTCAAACAAACTAACGTTTTTGAACTCCTACAAGATGAAGATGTCAGTTATCCTGGGAATTGTCCAGATGGTTTTCGGTGTTGTTCTCAGCCTTTTCAATCATGTGTGAGTTTCACGATGAACTTTCTGCCCGTTGATCTGACCGCGTCATTGATGAGCGGTGACTGAGCCGCTACATTGGTCCTGCGTCTCCTTGTGTGAGGGTTTCTTCCTTGCCACAGGGAGCCCTTCGCCGTGTCTCTTGGCTTGAGCCAGGACGGGCAGGTTTGGCGGAAGTGGGACCTCTGTCTCTCCCGAGCTGGGTCACTGAAATATGAGTGACCTTTCGCCTCAGGCATATTTGAGGGTTCAGAAAGAGACTGGCAAGCCCGTAGCATCTTCTGTCCCCTCAACCTGAAAGACTTGGGGTCACCGCTATATCCAGGATTAGCTCCCACCAGTGGGCAAGTGGAGACATAAGTGCATTTGGGCCACCGTGCCCTCAGAGTCCTAGAATCCTGATGTAGTGTCTTCCAAATGGCTGCACCTTCTCTCTCACTTGGACTGTTAATGTTGTCTTATCTTTCCTTTCCTTCTATCGACCTGCCTCTCTAAACGTCTCAAACCTATTCTCTAAGGATATAAATGTACGAAAACATGGAAACTGGTCAATTACACATTGATTCTTAAGCTTCCACCCCAAAGTGACACATACCCCTTCCGTTCCCACTGGCCAGAGCCAGTCCCATGGTGACCGCCGACCTGAAAGCTCACAGAAGTACAGTTCTGCTTGAAAAATAAGATCTATTTAGTGAGCAAACTAGTCACGACCAGTGACTAGGGACCCCTGGTACTCCTGCTTACCTGAAAGGGCCGTGGGGTTAAATGGGAGGTAATCCCAGAATGTATTTTCTGGAGCAGATTATCATTGGTATCACTGCATGTCAGGCAGGCCTCTGTCTAGTAGTCATGTTTTGTTGCGGGATCTCCCCTTTCCCTCAGATAACTCTTAGAATTAGCAATGGGCCTGGGGCCCTTTCTGACATTTTAACTTGGTGGCCCCCAACTCAGCCTTCTGAGCCTCTCTCTGTATCTTAGAGCAGGAATTGGCAAACTTTCTCTGTAAAGGGCCAGAGGGTAGATATTTTAAGCTTTGCAGGCTCGATGGCCTTTGTCACAACTACTCAGTCCTGGCATTGTAGCATGAAAGCTGCCATAGACAATTTGTAAATGGAATGTGACTGTGTTCTGATAAAACTTTATCAGTGAACCCTGAAATTTGAATTACGTATAATTTTCATGTGTCATAAACAAGTCTTCTCCTTCTTCTGATTTTTTGGCCAACCGTTTAAAAATATAAAACCTATTTTTATTTAACTTTGGGCTGTTTAAAAACAGGTGACGGGCTCAGTTTGGCCCGTGAACCTTAGCTTGCCGACCCCTGTCTTAGAAGAAGCGCTTCCTAGTCGCTCCTCAAGGGCACACTCTTTGTGCCCTTGAATGTGTTCGAATAAGCTAGATGTGCAGGTGAAACTGTGGCCGGATCCCCAGCTCTCCCTACAGGCATGCCCTTTGCTTCCGACGCTACCTTCCAGACTCTGGCTCTCTTGAATCCTTCCTTTCTCTTCTTCTCCATCCATGCATAACTGCTGCTTGACAGGAGAGTGGATGCGGTGTGGGGGGGAAGAAAAAGAACATTTCGTGCTTTGGGGAGAATAATGGGTGTGTTTCCCACCCCCAGATACTTCGGAAGAACTCTCAACATCGTTCTGCAGTTTATTCCTGAGATGATTTTCATCCTGTGTCTGTTTGGATACTTGGTCTTCATGATCATTTTCAAGTGGTGCCACTTTGATGTGCACATGTCCTGGCACGCCCCAAGCATCCTCATCCACTTCATCAACATGTTTCTGTTTAACTATGACGACCCTTCCAATGCACCCCTGTACAGACATCAGGTATCTGTGGCGTTTCCTTCTGTTATGCGCTGGGGTGGGGCGGGGGGGTGTCACGTCTGTCTCATGCTCCCAAGTGTTGCAGAGTGTAGTCATTTGCAAGACTGCGCCAGGTTAGCACCCTGCCGGGGTTGTTAGGTCCTTTCAATTTCCGAAGGTGTTTATTAGACTTGGATGAGTGCACAGGTGCTGGGGACGGTATGCCGCTGCTGCTCTGCCTGCTCCTGTTGGGGTGAGGCCCGATGTGGGTATCGCTGTGCAGTTGAAAATTGGCTTGTGCGTCGTCTATGAAGAAAGGAAAAAAAAAAAAACAAGTCCTTCGGATGGATTGGCCTGAAACCGCACATGGTCTGCATAGCACCTTAAAATGTCATCATCTTTGATTCTAAACATAAGCTGAGGTGTACGAGAAAGAAACTGGCAAGAGACCAGAAGAGGAGTCCCTCTGTTGACATGGGCAGGGGGCCCCTGGAAAACTAGAGTCCAAATCCCTGCTCTTCCTGCTCAGAGCTTCCATGGCTAGTTAGAGATGACTTCTCTCTCTCTGGCTCTCTTTTTCTTTTGATTCTTCTTCCGGGGACAGTACCTCCCAGCACCTGGACCGTGCGGCCGTTCTGATTTCTTCCACTTCTGGCACTTCATTATCAACTTAGCAATTCAGCCTCATTGTCGACTTAACGTTTTTGTTTTTGTTTTTTTTTTAAAAAAAGCATAAATGTTCCATGGGAGCTGGATATAAAAACAACTCAGTGAGTAACTCTTGGTTAACGCAAATAGTTTCCCTCTGGCCTCTCCCTGTGATGATACCGTGTGAAGGTAGATTTTCGCTCAGGGAGGCTGTGCTTACATAAGTTGTGATTGCTCTGTAGCAAGTACCATGGCTGTTTGCCCAGTGCCAGGTGACCCTCTGTTGCTCGTGTAACTTACCCGTGGTTGCTCACCCTGCATGTCCGCATTAAACACATGCTCCGCTCCTCCCATGCACGGCCTCATGAGTTTGATTCCTAGGTGTGGCCCCCTCCTCTGTGGGAGCAGCAAACAGTAAGAAGAGAAAATGCTTTGTGACAGGGCATTTTTTATGCAAAATAAGGAATACTTTTTTTTTTTTAATTTTTAAAGTTTATTTATTTTGAGAGAGAGAGAGCGCGCGTGAGTGAGCTAGGGGCAGAGAGAGAGAGACGGAGAGACAATTCCAAGTAGGTTCCGTGCTGTCAACGCACAGCCTGACGTGGGGCTCGATCTCTCGAACGGTAAGATCATGACTTGAGCCAGGATCACGAGTCGGACGCTTAACCGACTGAGCCACCCAGGTACCCTGAAAAATCAGGCAGGATTTTAGATGATAGTGAAAGAAGACACGTGCCTCTGAAAGCTCTTTTGAGGTATCCCTACTTTACTGTGGTAGCACGTTTTGTTATACATCAATGAATGGTTGTATAAACCACCCATAGATTGTAAGCACTAAGTAAATATATTTGGAAGGTTCATTGACTCAGTGCTGGAGTCCGAATGAAAGTTTACTTGTATTTCCCAAACAAGTCTTCCCTTTGAGGCAAAGGACTCAGACTCATCAATTATTTCATGTGCTAACTCCTTCCCTAGAAACTAAAGTCCTCACCTGGTCTGGCATATACACTGAACATTGCACAGTGAGTGACTTTTCCAGCTTTTTTTCCCATTCAAAACCCTTACTGGGAGTTGGCTGGTTTCCCTACGCCCTAGTATGAAGATGAATTATCCTGACATAGTTTCAGGTTTCCATGACGTCCTTCTGGGGTCATGCAGCTGGAAGAGACGATGTCAGTTGATAAATTCAGCCCCTTCCCAACACTGCCCTGGCCGACTTGGTGCCCTGTCTGGATATCAAAGGACAAGAGCAACAGATAAATATAAATATCTGGTTGCTGTGTACATCACGAGGTGGGAAAGCCTCACATAAAGATGGACAAACTGCAGGGAGGTAGCTTTGTGTGCAGGGAGTCAGAGCTGGCAAGCACAGTGTGTGTTTCTGTGGCTTCCCTCCCTCTCCTGAGCCTTCCAGGGTGGAGAAGCATAGAAGATTGGGCAGATAAGATGTTCCCACCGTTAGCAGGGCAAATCTGGTTACAACTGGGCTAAAAATCATCCCCTGGCGTTCAGTGAGAACTTGGCCAGAACAGTTGAAGAAAAGGGAAGGCTCAAGGAACGTTTTTCCTTCCTCCAAGCACCCAGTGTCCATTCCTTTCCAATAGCTCTGGCCAAGCCTCCCTGGGCTGCCTGGTTCTTTTCACAGCTCTAGGTCACTCTTCAAAACTGGTGACTAGAAGGTGTATCACAAGCGAGGCTGGGGCACGAGGGCGTGATAGGAAGCGTGTAGCAGGATGATAAGGGGGGATCACTCCCGAGTTTCAGCAGAAGCATAAAGACTATGGGTGCCTCATCCCAGAGGGAACCGTGAGGGAGACAGCCGGGGAGAGTTCAACATGGCTACCCCAGAGCCCCACGTCAGGTGACTCACCCACAGCGAGAGCGTGCTGGTCAGGGTAGAGCGTAAGGAAGCTTTGTTTTTTTATTTTGAAAGAGAAAGAGAACTCAGATAATTATCTAGCACTGGAAAGATAAAATTACTAATTGAGATAAATGCTTGTGACTTAAAGTGACCCAAGGACTTCTGGCTACAACAGAGTGACCAGTGAAGTCATGGGGCCTGTCACACTTTTCATGCAGGGCCAGGGGCTATTCCCATGGGGCAAGGGATACATAAAGCTGCCCTTATGTGCCTCATGAATACTTGTTCACATATGGTATGGGTAGATAGCAAGGGGGTACTCGGTAAAGAATAAGAGAGTGGGTTTCCAGTGACTACCCTGGGTTGACACAGGGCACCACTGGTCCGAAATAGGAGTACTCCAAGATGTAAAAGTGAGTGGATTCATTGAAATGCTTTAGATCTCTTAAAATAGGTACAACTAAAATGATCCATGTTTACCATTTTTATCATATGAAGTATGTTGTGTGATCACCTTAAAATGACGGGATCTTACCATTTTAATCTTACAGCAAGAAGTCCAAAGTTTCTTCGTTATCATGGCTTTGATTTCTGTGCCTTGGATGCTTCTGATTAAGCCGTTTATTCTTAGAGCCAATCATCAAAAATCCCTGGTAAGAGCCGTTCATTTAAATTCACTCACTGTGGGTAAGAACGTGGGCTCCTTGAAAATAGAAGTCTGGGCTTTAGACAGATTGCTGGGCTTCCTGAGACCCGAAGGACCTAAAGAAACTACCCTGCCCCATGGCATGTTTCCTTCTACAGAGCTCCACATTTCCCTGGGGTCTTATTTTATTTTATTTCATTTTTATTTATTTTTTAAATATGAAATTCATTGTCATATTGGTTTCCATACAACACCCAGTGCTCATCCCAACAGGTGCCCTCCTCAATGCCTATCACCCACTTCCCCCTCCCTCCCACCCCCCATCAACCCTCAGTTTATTCTCAGTTTTTAAGAGTCTCTTATGGTTTGCCTCCCTCCCTCTCTAACTTTTTTTTCCCCTTATCCTCCCCCATGGTCTTCTGTTAAGTTTCTCAGGATCCACATGAGAGTGAAAACATATGGTATCTTTCTTTGTATGACTTATTTCACTTAGCATAACACTCTCCAGTTCCATCCACATTGCTGCAAAAGGCCATATTTCATCCTTTCCCATTGGGGGGGGGGGTCTTATTTTAGAATAATGTTCTACTAAGGGCAAGCATGTTTAAATCTTAAATTTTGCAAACTTTGCTCAGGGTGTGTGTGTGTGTGTGTGTGTGTGCCTCCGTGTATGTGTGTGTATGCACGTGTGTGTGCACCAAGTCTACGGGTAGCTAATGACTTACAACAGTCTGAACACGGTTGTTTCATTAGTTGGAAATAAAAGTACTTTACTACAGTTTTAGTTTATTAATGAATATTGAAAGTTGTTTTTACTAGATTTTAAAGTTGTGAGGTTTCACTGTTCATCTATCATGTCATAGATTGTTTGAGTGAAGTTGTAAACACATACAAGTAAGCCAGCTTCTATTTATTTGTGATTTTTCCCCATTGCCAAACACCAATTTCAGTCCATTTCCTCCTTTTGTCTGAACTGCTTCTGAGCCCCAGATTTACTCAGGGAGCGAAGAAGAGTTTACTATCAGTTTAAATCAAATGGGATTTGGGAAGATTGACCTCCTAGGGCACGTCAAAGTCTAGAAATCCACACGAGTGCTGTTTCAGATTATCACTCTCTGCGTTCTCTATCTACATCAGTACAAAAGAGTAAGTGGAACTTGCTGAGATCACATATGTTTTAAGTTGTTGTAAATATTTTCAGATAAATTCTCCCCCCCCCCCTCCCCCCGCCCCCCACAATATCTGTTGGGTATTGACCTGGCTGAGTTCTGGACCTGGAGATGATAAGACTGGAGTTCCAGAGGCTCGTCCCTAGGTGGCACCCTCTCTCCACATCACCTGCTTCTCTCCCTATTGTGTCCTGCCTGCCTTGTTTAGTTATGAAATTGTCTGATAAATACAATTTATATGGGAGATAAATAAATAGAAAGGCGAAGCAAAGAAGAATACTTGTTTATTGTTTAGTCCATTTGTAAGAGACCCAGATGGTAAAGCGTGGCTGAGGTGGAAGGCTGTCTAGAGGTGACCGAGTACTTCAAAGGAACATGGCAAATAGCTCTTTATAGACATAGATGCAACTCTCTTTTCTACCTGTCCGTAAATTTAATGAGCTTAAGTCCATGAGTCCCACCTGAGTCCCCAGACTCTAAAACAATAGCTTCCCTTGCTCTTTGCTACGCAAAAGCTGTAAACAGTTGCTGATCTCAACCTGGTTGATTTCTCTCTTTACCCCATGGTAACTTACACAATAGGGAAGGAAATATAGAGGGTTTTCTTAGTCTGCCATCTTGGATGATACCCCCTAAACCAACTCTGGGTAGTAGGAGCTCCCTAAGACTGCATGGAGGGCTGTCTCCTTGGGATTCCTTGGAATACATAGCTGTTGATCGGTTTTATAGGCTGCTGATTAGGGTCTTGGTGATCCTTTTTCATGTTTCGTTAGAAATATTTCTACCACCTCCATCCAAGAGATGATCCCACTAGGGCGTTATTTGCCCCCCATCCAGTTCCCTCCGTGAAACCTTAAGGAGGCCCAGTATATTGAGATTATAAACATATTTGTGATGGGCCTCAGGGGTATGAGCAGAAGTCCCACGTATTCAGGCTCCTCTATACGCTATAACCTGCGGCCCCTGCAGAAAGTGGTTTGGAAACCTCTGCACTAGAGGGCCACCGAGTAGTATTCCATTGTGTACATATATGTATATACACCACATTTTCTTAATCCATTCATCAGTTGATGGACATTTGGGCTCTTTCCATAAATTGGCTATTGTTGATAGTGCCGCTATAAACATTGGGGTGCATGTGCACCTTCAAATCAGCATTCCTGTATCCTTTGGATAAATTCCAAGTAGTGCAATTTCTCGGTTGTCGGTTGTAATTCTATTTTTAATTTTTTGAGGAACCTCCGCACTTTTCCAGAGTGGCTGAACCAGTTTAGTTTGCATTCCCACCAACAGTGCAAGAGGGTTCCCCTTTTTCCACATCCTCGCCAACATCTGTTGTTTTTCTGAATTGTTAACTTTAGCCAGTCTGACCTGCGTGAGGTGGTATCTCAATGTGGTTTTGATTTGTATTTCCCTGGTGATGAGTGATGTTTCCTTGGTGATGACACTTTTCACGTGTCTGTTTGCCATTTGGATGTCTCCTTTGGAGAAATGTCTATTCATGTCTTCTGCCCATTTCTTCACTGGATTATTTGTTTTTTGGGCGTTGAATTTGATAAGTTCTTTATAGATTTTGTATACTAACCCTTTATCTGATACGTCATTTGCAAATATCTTCTCCCATTCCATTGGTTGCCTTTTAGTTTTGTTGATCGTTTCCTTTGTTGTGCAGAAGCTCTTTATCTTGATGAGGTCTCAGTAGTTCATTTTTGCTTTTATTTCCCTTGCCTTCAGAGATGTGTCAAGTAAGAAGTTGCTGTGGCCAAGGTCAAAGAGGTTACTGCCTGTTTTCTCCTGTAGGATTTTGATGGTTTCCTGCCTCACATTTAGGTCTTTCATCCATTTTGAATTTATTTTTGTGTATGGTATGAGAAGGCGGTCTAGTTTCATTTTTCTGCATGGTTACTGTCCAGTTCTTCCAGCATCATTTGCTAAAGAGACTGTCTTTTTTTCCTATTGGATACCCTTTCCTGCTTTCTCAATGATTAGTTGGCCATATATTTGTGGGTCCATTTCTGGGTTCTCTATTCGATTCCATTGATCTAAGTGTCTGTTTTTGTGCCAATAGCATACTATCTTGATTACAGCTTTGTAATACATCTTAAAAAAAATTTTTTTTTAACGTTTATTTATTTTTTGAGAGAGGCAGACAGAATGCAAGTGTGTTAGGGACAGAGAGAGAGGAAGACACAGAATTCAAAGCACGCTCCAGGCTCTGAGCTGGCAGCACAGAGCCCAACACAGGGCTCGAACTCACGACCTATGAGATCATGACCTGAGCTGAAGTCGGACGCTCAACCGACTGAGCCACCCAGGTGCCCTGTAATACATCTTGAAGTCTGGAATTGTGATGCCTCCAGCTTTGGTTTCTTTTTCAACATTACTTTGGCTAGTCAGGGACTTTGGTGGTTCTGTACAAATTTTAGAATTCTTTGTTCTTTCTCTGAGAAGAATTCTGGTGCTATTTTAATGGCATTGCATTGAATGTGTAGATTGCTTTGGGTGATACTGACATTTTAACAATGTTTGTTCTTCCAATCCATAAGCATGGAATGTTTTTCCATTTTTTTGTGTCTTCTTCAATTTCTTTCATAAGTTTTCTATAGTTTTCGGCATACAGATCTTTTACCTTGTCGGTTATGTTTATTCCTAGGTATTTTCTGGGTTTTGGTGCAATTGTAAATGGGATTGATTCCTTGATTTCTCTTTCTGTGGCTTCGTTATTGGTGTGTAGAAATGCAACCGATTTCTGTACATGGATTTTATATCCTGCAACTTTGCTGAATTCTTCTATCAGTTGTAACAATTTTTTTGGTGGAGTTTTTTGGGTTTTCCTTGTAGAGTATCATGTCATCTGTGAAGAGTGAAGGTTTGACTTCTTCTTTGCCAATTTGGATGCCTTTGATTTCCTTTTGTTGTCTGATTGCTGAGGCTAGCACTTCCAACACTATGTTAAACAACAACGGTGAGACTGGACCGCTGTCATGTTCCTCATCTTAGGGGGAAAGCTCTCAGTTTTCCCCACTGAGAATATTAGCTGTGGGCCTTTCATATATGGCTTTTATAATGTTAAGGTATGTTCCTTCTCTCCCGACTTTCTTGAGGGTTTTTATTAAGGATGCTATATTTTGTCAAATGCTTCTTCTGCATCTGTTGACAGGATCATGTGTTTCTTATCCTTTCTTCTATTAATGCGACATATCACATTGATTGATTTGCAAATATTGAACCAGCCCTGCAGCCCAGGAATGAATCCCATTTGATCATGGTAAATAACTCTTTTAATTTACCATTGAATTCGATTTGCTAGTATCTTGTTGAGAATTTTTGCATCCGTGTTCATCAGGGATATTGGCCTGTAATTCTCCTCTTTAGTGGGGTTTTTGTCTGGTTTGGGAATCAAGGTAATGCTGACTATGTCATAGAATGAGTCTGGAAGCTTTCCTTCAGTTTCTATTTTTTGGAACAGCTTGAGAAGAATAGATATTAACTCTGCTTTAACTGTATGGCAGAATTCCCCTCGGAAGCCATCTGGCCCAGGACTCTTATTTGTTGGGAGATTTTTTTATAATCAATTCAATTTCTTTGCTGTTTATGGGTCAAATTTTCTATTTCTTCTCTTTCAGTTTTGGTAGTGTGTATATATCTAGGAATTTGTCTATTTCTTCCAGATTGTCCAGTTTGCTGGCATATAATTTTTCATAGTGTTCTGTAATAATTGTTTGTATTTCTGTGGTATTGGCTGTGATCTGTCCTCTTTTATATGTGATTTTATCTATTTGGGTCCTCTTTCTTTTCTTTTTGAGAAGTCTGGCTAGGGGTTTATCAATTTTGTTTA